CAGGGCCTGTAAGACGGAGCTCTTCCGCCAGGCTTTTGAGTAGGAGCCGCCACCACCACTATTCCATCACTGTCAACTTCTGTTTCCGCACCTCTGCCACCATTGTTTGGGAATCATCAGGGTGCAAGACGTTCCTAGATGAAGATGGGATGACAGTACTGTTGGGATGTATGTTGTTGGTCTGGTAATAATAACTCCATTTATGATCTATGTGACCTTTAGAGCACCGACATTTTAGTGTATAGTGATGTATTGTGTTGTTTTATTCTGTTTTTATTGTTTTAACTTTGGCATTTATGCCTCGTTGTTAGCCGCCCTGAGCCTTTGGGGAGGGCGGGATATAAATCTATAAATACATAAATAAGATATTTCGCTTCCCCAGCCGCCCTGCCGGGGGCTGCAAAATATGTGTGAAAGAGCCGCATGCGGTTCCCGAGCCACAGTTTGGCCACCCCTGATAAAAGGCCTTCCTTGCTGAGCTTAGTCGATAGGTTTGGAAGGAATGATCACATACAGAAGAAGGTGCTCCCCATCATGTGCATGGGCCACTCAAAATACTTTGCACTGGGCCCAGAAGTGTGTTGGCAAACAGATGTCAGCGAGCTGCCATTCCTCTGGGACGTGTCCCTCTTCCCTCCCTCCCCGTGTTATTCTCTTCTGGTATGCGACTGTAACTGCCAAGCTTCTCCTACAGGTGGACGATGGAGTGTTATGTCTTCTTGCCTTGCTTAATTAGATTCCCGTGTGAACTGAACTTGTGTTTATGGTATGAGCCGTTGGAGTTCTCAGGCTGCTTCGCGCCTTTTCTAATCAACTCCCTTGCGAGGGAGTTTAGCCCATTGGGTTAACCAAGTTTGAAGTTCCTATATTATATTGCCCCTGTGTATTGTAGTCATTCTGGACAATTCTCTGTATGTTCATGATCAACCATGCTTTGGAAATAAATCTTACTTCTTTGGAACGTGGGTTTGTTCTCCTGCTTTGGGATCTGACATTTTGTCCAGAATCCCTCTTTCCCCCTCACCCCGAGTCTGACATCGATCATGAGCGGGGCCGAAGGGAAATCCTTTTTCTGGGCAGAGGACCGAGGTGCCGTCCCGGCCACTGCCTTACCATCGGACTTCATGGAAGCCCGAGGTGCCGTTGGGGGAGCGATCCCGAGGCATGAGACTATTCCTTGGCTTCCTCCTACCCCATCGCAGTGGGGAAAACAAGAGGTCAAAGCCTCAGAGGATTGGACTATGTTCGATACCCAAGGCACCAGGGAAACGTTTGTTCATCGGGGCAGTGGGCCCCGAGAAAGCCTTTTTGAACCGGGATCTTATCCTGAAAGACCCCGGAGTTGCCCGGCTGTGGCTTATCGAGGGGAGGACGAGTTTTGGCCGGAGGAGAGAGCGACCGGACGAGACGAGCGGGAAGAGCAGCCAGGCTGGGGGGCATCCCAGGATGGCAGGATCCAGGAGCTCGAGAGGTCGGTGCAGGATCTCATGAGGACGGTGACAGAAGTTTTCAACGCCATGCACCAGATGGTGGACGATCGCATCGCGGATCGTCTGGGTCCTGTCATTCCACCCCCGGTGCCGCACCCGGCACAGCCGGCCGTGCCTGCCCAGCCAGTTCAGCCTGCGGCGCCACTGCCAGCGCCCCAACCGCCGGCGCTGCCGCCTGGATTACCGCCTCCTCTGCAACCAGCACCCGCGGGACCCGGGTTACCTCAACAGGCTCCTCTGGGACCGCCACCGCCACTTATCCCTGGCCTCCCCGCACCCCAGCCAGGGGCCCCACCGATGGCTCCCGGATTACCCA